TAAATGAAATAAGGGACTCCGGTGTATAGAGAGGACCTCACCGTTTAAGACATAACCATAGAAACGATGGAATCCACTATTTCGTTATTCATTTCTATTTATTACTTTTTTCTGTTTTTTGATACCTAGTATCAATACTCGTTTCGAGGTGAAATGCCTATAAAAAAAGACAAATTGTGGTTGGGAAGGTTATAGTAGCAAAAGCCATTGGAATTTGTATTTTATACATTGGAAGGATCCGTTTTGTTATTAATAAACTAGGAAAAGGGAAAAGAATAACTGAAAGAAAGGAAATCAATTAGTTATTCATGAAAGTTTCATTTATTCAATGACTAGAATTAGACGAGGATATATAGCTCGGAGACGTAGAACAAAAATTCGTTTATTTGCATCAAGCTTTCGGGGGGCTCGTTCAAGACTTACTCGAACAATTATTCAACAGAAAATAAGATCTTTGGTTTCGTCTCATCGAGATAGAGATAGGAAAAAGAGAGATTTTCGTCGTTTGTGGATCACTCGGATAAATGCAGTAATTCGCGAGAATAGAGTATCCTATAGTTATAGTAGATTAATACACAATCTGTACAAGAGACAGTTGCTTCTTAATCGTAAAATACTTGCACAAATAGCTATATTAAATAGGAATTGTCTTTATATGATTTCTAATGAGATCATAAAATAAAAAAGGAAATTGTAAGGAAGTCGTCAGAATATTTTAAATGGAGTTCGCTGGAGAATGAACTCCGGGAAGGTAGAGTAGAAATTAGTATGATAAAGAGAATATGATAAAGTCGCTCAAAATTAAATGAGCGAATATGTCCAATATCCAATAAAAAAAGATTTCTTCTTCTTCCCCAATTTTTTTTCTTACAATTTTTCGAACAAAATATCAATCTGTGTTTGAGTTCGGATTTGAATTTGAATTTGGGTTCAATTGAGGAGTAAAGTAAGTCTACTTTTTTTTTTATTTATTTAGGGTTCTAAGACCAGTAGCTCCGGAGGTCGACTCGCTTCTTTCAAATTGTTTCTCATTATTAAGAAAAGGTAACAAAGATAAAATACGAGCTTGTTTTATAGCAATAGTAATTAATCGTTGTTGTTTTAAGGTTAATCTATTTACCCGTCTAGATAATATTTTTCCTTGTTCACTAATAAATCGACTAATTAAACTCATGTTTCTATAATCAATTCGATCCCCCGATTGGATCGGGGGCAAACGCCTACGAAAAGATCGCTTGGATTTAAGAAAGAGTCGCTTGGATTTTTCCATGGTTTGTTTATTCCTTATCCCCAAAATCCTATTTCAATCTGATCCAAAAAGATTTTGAATTCAAAATAAAATATAGGATTTTATTTGGCTTTTTTTTTTAGTTAGTTAAATTATGTTAACTAGAATATATAGAATAATATGGTATATATAGAATATGTCCTTTTCATGTTCCTTGTAAGAGTGACACACAGGCACTTGATTCGAGTTATTTCTTTATCTCCCCGTGAATCGTATGTTTGTAACAATAGGGACAGAATTTTATCAATTCCAATCGACTAGGCGTATTGTGTCGATTCTTTTGAGTAATATATCTGGAAAGACCCCTTGATTCCTTATTAAGACCGTTTCGAACACAGTTGGTACATTCTAAAATAACCGTTACTCGGACATCTTTACCCTTGGCCATGAACCTCCTTTGCGTTTTTGATTCAACCAACTCTTCTACTTTCCGCGAAAAAAGAAATAAAAAAAATAAGAAGTAAAACAACAAACTAATATTTAGGTATATTTTGAATCGAATTCGATTCAATGTACAGTATTTCATTAAAAGATCTTGTATGATCTTCTTGCCCTAGACACATTTCTGTTCTCACAATATTATTTCTAAATGGAATTGGAGACTAAACCCGAATTTTGCCGAGGTTGAATCTACTTTTTTATTTCTCTTTCCTCCTTTCTTTATTTTACTTCTACTTATTATATTGTATTGAATTCTATTTTATCTAAAAAAAAAAAAGAAAAGAGGGGGAGGGATTAGTCACAAATCTTTTGATTCTATCTCTAATCTTCTTCACCCCTTCCCATGTCAATAACTAGAATGAGAAAAAAGGGAATGTCAACGCATCCGGAAATAAACGATTGATCTCTATCAAAAGACCTGCTAAAGCCCCAAACCATAGAGTACTTAGTACCGGTGCCACGGAAAGATATGTTTTTAGATCTCGCATTTTAAATCCTCCTTCTTTATTCTTTTTATTTATTGTATTATTTATTGTAATGCCTAATGGTAATCCATATATGATCCGATATAATATAAACTATGTAAGTAGTTAAGGACCGCTTGTATTTGTACACGGAATTCCTAATTCCAATTGAAATTTACAATGATTCGGTAGATAAGATTTTCCTTTTCTTAAAACCGAAAAAGACGTCCCTTCCGACTGAGCATTCCAAAAAAATATTCTTTTTTTTTTTAGTTATTTTTTACGATGGGTTTCAGATTCATGTGTATATAAGCCTTCTATTATTATTATATGTTACATGAGAATAAAAAAAAAATGTCAAGATAACTTGGATATATCAATGGAAAAAATAAGGATTTTGAAAACAAGACAGGGATTCTATAAAATGACACTGTAGACCAATTGAAAGGGATGTAGCGCAGCTTGGTAGCGCGTTTGTTTTGGGTACAAAATGTCACGGGTTCAAATCCTGTCATCCCTACCTATTACTTCTCGTCTGAGCAGTAACGAGGGATTCATTGAAATCGATTAAAATCAGGCATACATAATCTTTATTTTATTATATCATATTCTATATGATAGTCTTATGCATACAAGATGTATTCGGGTTAGAAAAAAAATCCTCTTTTTAGTTTTAGCTAGTGTGATAATGATAAGAAGATAAGAAAGCGCTCTTAGTTCAGTTCGGTAGAACGTGGGTCTCCAAAACCCGATGTCGTAGGTTCAAATCCTACAGAGCGTGATTCCAGTCTTGGTTAGGTTAGTCCAAAATTACACTTAAATAATTGAAGAGTAATCTTAATTTGACCTCCTTTGGATTAAAGAAAAGAGGAGGTCAATTAAAAAAAAAGATGTTGATTAATTTAATCAAAGGTCCAACTGATCACCACGTCTGTATTGTAAATATGCAGTTACAAATAATCCAGCTAAAGTAATAGGAATTAGACCTAAGACAATTCCAAATAGAAAAACTTCAATCATTTCAATTTTTTGGAAAGGGAAAAAGGAGAGGTAATATCTATCCCTACATATTAATCCGCATTGCCCATGAATCTCAATGACCACGAATTGGAAATTGATCGGGTAAGGAACTATAGAGTCAGTCTATGAATACCACAGAAATATTTCTTTTTATGCGTTGTGTTCATTCAATTAATTTCAAATAAGTCGTATCTTGGTCAGACCAATAAAGAGAGCTGAGGTTATAGTTAAAGCTGCTAGTAGAAAACCAAAATAACTAGTTATAGTAAGCATGAAGATGAAGGAGCTAAATGAAATGTGTTCTTTTTATACATATGTTTCTAAAGTACTTCCCTAAGTTTCAAGATACGAAGATAAGCAAAAATACCAATTCAAATGAAAGAATAAGTTCAATTGACAGTTGTTAATTCATCAATCATTATAGACGGGATTAACAAAAACATAGAGTAAGGGAGGTAGAAAAAGAGATCAATTAATCATTTAATTTCGAATCAAGGGATTCATTAGACAATTCTTGAGTAGACTAATATTAAAATAAAATAATAAGAAATTTGAATCCATATAGAACAAAATTCGAAAATCATTTCTCTTTTCTTTTGATCTTTTTTTTTAATCGTATCGAATCTATTTTTCGATTTTCGAATAAAGAGTGACCTTATAACAATAACACCTTTTTTTCTTGTCATTTGAGATATTATGTGAATGAACCTACTACTGAATTTAATGAGTAAAAATTTAAATAAATAAAGTAAAAATAAAAAAGGTATCGCACAACTGATCAGATCACTCGAAAATAAAATCTTTATTTTTGTCCAACTAGATTCTAAGACTAGTAATTCCTATAATTTTTCCTTTCTTTTCTAGGTTCTACATTTTTTTCCATATTTATTAGAAATAGAAATTGTCTTTTCATATCATAAATTCCCACTCTCAGAGCTAGTTCCAGAAAGAACCTTTCGATCTAATACAAGAAAACAATGTGTGCATCACGAATATTGATTATTCCAATTCTATTTTTTTTGTTTGTTCTCTTTTTTTTTCAATACTATCTACCCCTTTTACTTGTTACTCTACGAATGAACAATTCTTCTTAAAATGAAAAAAAAAGAGAACAACAAAAAACTTTTCTACAGTTTAAGCTTATAACTCTGAAAAGGAGATTTTTCAATTTCGTATCGAATTGAATTGTGGAAAAAATGGAGAGAAAGAAACCTTATAGAAATTCAAGAAATTGAATATTGAATAATACATGCATGATTCTACATCGACAAGCAACAAGAAAATAATAAAGAAATTATCGAGTACTTCATTTCCATACTCATTAAAATTGCGTTGCTGTGTCAGAATAAGGATAGCTATACTGATTCGGTATACTCGAAAAACACCCTTGGTACAATATTGACGATCTAACAAGGATGGAACTTCAGTGAATTTCCATTTACTGATATCATCTTTTATGGAATCGATCCCCCCTTTAACTGTACAAGAATATGTGGAGCTCAGCATGTCTGGAAGCACAGGAGAACGTTCTTTTGCTGATATTATCACCAGTATTCGATACTGGGTTATTCATAGTATTACTATACCTTCCCTATTCATTGCGGGTTGGTTATTCGTCAGCACGGGTTTAGCTTATGATGTGTTTGGAAGCCCTCGCCCAAACGAATATTTTACAGAGAGCCGACAAGGAATTCCATTAATAACTGGCCGTTTTGACCCTTTGGAACAACTCGATGAATTTAGTAGATCTTTTTAGGAGGACCCAATGACCATAGATCGAACCTATCCAATTTTTACAGTGCGATGGTTAGCTGTTCATGGACTAGCTGTACCTACCGTTTCTTTTTTAGGGTCAATATCAGCAATGCAGTTCATCCAACGATAAACCTAATACAAATTATAGAGCTATGACACAATCAAACCCGAACGAACAAAATGTTGAATTGAATCGTACCAGTCTCTACTGGGGGTTATTACTCATTTTTGTACTTGCTGTTTTATTTTCCAATTATTTCTTCAATTAAGAGAAGAAAAAAGAATAGTAGAATACTAAATAATAATAAGAATTATCTTAACCCATTCGGAAGGATTACATCTCATAATTATCTATGGCTGTTTATGTCTTTAGCATGACAACTTGATGAAAGAAATGGTGGAGGGAAGCGGGATAAATGGCCGATACTACTGGAAGGATTCCTCTTTGGATAATAGGTACTGTAACTGGTATTCTTGTGATCGGTTTAATAGGTATTTTCTTTTATGGTTCATACTCCGGGTTGGGTTCATCTCTGTAATAATCTAATAATAAGATGAACTGAGTTGGAGACATGAAAGCTTAAGAAGGCAAGTGGATCCTTGCCTTCTTAAGCCTTCTTAAGCCTTCTTAAGCTTTCATAATATTTTATTAGTATAAATAAAAAAAATAACTTTTCCCTATTTTGAAAAAAAAACTTCATTTCTTATAATGTTTTTGAAAACTTCATTAATTAATTTAGAGCATCCCTTATTCGCGGATAGTATCTTATCTATCTTTCAAAGTTAGAAGAAAGAAGGAATCGCTCGATTTCATTTTCCTGAATGACACAATTACAATATATATTTCTGTCGATCAGCTATTATGCAAAGCAAATCCTTTTCGAATAGATCCTTATCCTTACTCTACTCTATTTAGTATCTCATCAAAGTTGAATTTTTTCTAAGTCCATTAGAATAAGTTCTATTTTATCAAAAGATTTCCCTCTATTTTTTTTTTGTTTGTTCACTACTTTCTATATGTATACGTAATAAATATAAAAAAAGGGTTCTGATAAACATGGAAAAAATAGAAACTAATAAGGATAGTAATTTTTGACGAACGGGATCAAAAACCGTTTTTATGTAGACACAAGAAAGAAATGTAGAAAATTCCTTTCTTGTGTCAAAGAAAAGACTAAGAAGAAGAAGGCGAATAATCCTTTGTTTTCTATTCTCCACTTACTTATCTTATGTTTAGTATCCAGTGAAATTTTAGATGTTATTCTATTAGAATAGAAAAAGATTGATCCATTCTATGACATTTCAATCTCACAAGAGTGACCTAGTGACACCGCTCGAATTTGGCTTGAAAAAAAAAGAAGGGATAAAGTAAAATAATCTTCTTCACAATATACATACTATGACTAGGAATGCGGTACAAATAATTCCCGATATCGACATCTGGAATAGAAACAAGCAAAAAGCTTTTCATAATTTTTGATCATACATAACATATACAGAACATAATTGAATTCCCAAAACAAGAATTTGATTCTTTTTACGAACTTGATATTGGAAATCCGAGAATCTAGAAATTCATTTCGGACAATTGAACCTTCTCAAACTGTTTCTTCTTAAGAACCAAAAATATTTGTGCCAAAATAACAGATGCCAAGAAGAACAAAAGGCCTTGGACACGGAATGGATCTTGAAGTACTATTTCCGCATCCCCTTGACCAAATCCACCCACATTAGGATTACTCGTTAATGGCTGATCAACTTTGATAGATTCGCCTTCGGAAACAAGAAGTTCTGGCCCTGGGGGGATAATATCAACCACTTGACGTTCATCTGACGCATCCGATATGGTTATTTCGTACCCCCCTTTTTCTTTTCGTATGATTTTACTTACTACACCAGCCGCTGTAGCATTATAAACTGTATTGTTACTCTTGCTCCCATCGGGATAAATCTGACCCCTTCCTCTGTTCCCACCTACATATATGGGATATTTTAAGAAGTGAACATCTTTATTAGTAGCGGGGTCCGGGGAAAGAATAGGAAAGGTGACTTCACTATATTTCTGACCAGAAACAGGACCTATCACAAGAATATTTTTTTTAGTGGGGCGATAGCTCTGAAAAGACAGATTTCCTATCTTTTCTTTCATCTCGGGCGAAATACGATCGGGGGGGGCTAATTCAAATCCCTCAGGTAAAATAAGAACAGTCCCCACATTCAAACCTCCCCTTTTACCATTAGCAAGAACTTGTTTAACTTGCATATCATAAGGAATTCGAACAACCGCTTCAAATACAGTATCAGGAAGTACCGCTTGCGGAACCTCAATATCCACGGGCTTATTAGCTAAATGGCAATTGGCACATACAATACGCCCGGTCGCTTCTCGTGGATTTTCATAACCCTGCTGTGCAAAAATGGGATATGCATTGGAAATGGATGTCCGAGTTATGATATATATCATTAGCGATACGGAAATAGATCGAATAATCTCTTTCTTTATCCAAGAAAAGGTGTTTTTAGTTTGCATGGTCCAATCATTGATCCCGAAAATTTCTACAATAAAATTAGGTAGGTCGCTTGTATAGTTCCCTATCCACAATTCTGCTATTTACTGTACTGAAATCATTTTACTGGAATATAGGAGTAGGAGAAATCCCTGTAGGGTAGAAAGAGTAAGTACGTCTTAAAATTGAAATGCTTTGCTTATGTACCTTATGTTACAAAGTAACAAATATTATAGTTGGATCAGTCATTCATTGAATGATAAATCACTACAAGTGATGGAGATACACGATTTAAATACCGGAAGATCCAATATTTAAAAATTGTATCCAGAATGACTGGAAAAGTAGAAACAAGACCAGATATAATTTGATCGTTGTGAGCAAATCCAAAATCTTTGTAGACATAGCCAATCATTAGTTCCCAACCATGGGGCGAATGGAATCCGATACATAAATCAGTTAATAAAAGAATAGAAAAAGCTTTTATTGTGTCACTTAAGTTATATAGGAATTCTTGAACCCAAGAGTTAAGAATAGCAAGTTCTTCATTACCCAGAATAGAATAACCACTTAAAATAATGAAAGAGGTTATATTTGTCGATAAGTGCAAAATCATATGGATATGATCCTCATTGTGCATCTTGATCAATTGGATCGTTTCTTTGTGAATTCCTATACGAAGTGTTTGTAGATGTGTTTCCGGGTATTCTTTTATCATTTCGTCCAAGAGTAAGAGTTCTTCCAATTCTATGAATTTTTCTAGAATACTCTTTTCTTGAATATCAGTCAAAAAAGTTTCGGATTGCCTAGTATTCCACCAATTAGTAATCCAAAATTCAAGACATTTATTAAATGAGAGAGAGATCCACCAGGGCAAAAATACTCTAGATGTAAGATATAGAAGAGGAAGAAATGCTTTCTTTTTTGCCATTTTTTCATCTTTGAATTGTTAATGAACCCACCTCATTTGTTGAATCTATGTGATCTACTATTTCTATTAACCCTAAGTTCTATTCCAAGGCATCGGACCTATGAATCTATTCCCTGTTTTTTATTTGTGATTTAGTAATGAGTCCTTGAATTTAGAAAGAATACAGAAATAGAATAAGAGCCCGTTTCGAATGAAGAAATAAGAAAAAATATTGTTTCCAGATACCTCAATTGAATTGATCAAATTCGAAGCCCTTTTCGATGAATGCTTGAAAGAACCAACCAATTCAAGCAAGTAATGAATATTATTCGGATTTCAAGCCAAAAGAACTCCCCTTGTCCTTTCTATCAAAAAAGAAAATCTTTCGAAAAAAAAATGGCCGGCTACCCACAGTTATAGTCCAGGAAAAATGGAGCGAGATTTATGAAGAATATTCTGATCTAACGATCACAAATTCAAAAACTAATGATCAAAAATGAGTGGCAAAACAAGACAGAAAAGTTATCCTTATAAGAGATACAAGCAGTCCTTTGCCTTTGATCATTAAGAAACACAAAAGAAAAGATAAAAAAAAAAGAAAGGTCGATTGACAAAAGAAAGGAGAGAGCATTTACAAGATATGATCTATTTGTATCTAACCTATCAATTCATATTGAAAATAAAAAGAGAAATCCTTTATTCCGAAATGTTTTGATATACGAGATGAATCTATTATTTTATTTCGATTTGTTACTTTTACTTGTTTTTTACTGAATTGAGTTGAGTGGATTTCCATACGCATAAATCATTTTTTATGCGGACAAAAAAAGTTTCGTTTTATGGATGTTCCATATACGTCTACTTTGGATCGAATGAACGTTCTGAAAAAACTTTATTAAGCTATGCTATGCTGAAGAAAGAAAAGAGAATTCTTGAATTTTTTCCCTGCCGATGGGAAAGAATTTCTTCTTCAGTTCAAGTTCATTTCAAAATACTTCAATCGGTACGCGCAAGAAATAGGCCAATTCGGCGGCTTTTTGCTCAATTTCACGCGGAGTCAAATTCTCATCAGTACGCGTCAAGGGAACGGCCCCCTGTCCTTTGATTTCCATATAAAGGACACGACGAGCATAAATACCCTCTTTAACTTCTATTCGGATGGACTGAATATCTTTCATACGAAATCGTAGGAAGATGCGACGATTTTTTCCAGGAAATCCCCAACGAAAAATACACACTATTCCTTCTTTTCTATCGAATCGATCATAGCCACTACCTACATTCCACGAAATTGTGCACCACAAATAGGAACTAATAAAGAGACCTGCGATACCGTAGAAAGACATCACGATCCCTTGTGGAAAAAAAAGAATTTGTTGAGAGGGAACTAAAGATATCAAATTCTTACCGAGATAACTGGAAGATCCAACTAATACGAATCCTAGTGAACCTAAAAAAAGGATAAAGGCCCAGCAGAAATTACTTATTTTTCGAGACCCCACTATAAGTTCTATCCATATATGTTCTGATCGCCAACTCATACTAGATCCAGTTGCATTTTATTGGAATTGAGAAAATAGTCCAAATGAATTTGACTTTCCTTTTTTTGTTTCCGAAGTAACTCTCATCAACTAGCATCATTCGAATGTAACCCTTTAGGAGTAATTCATCTAATTGGTTAGATCCAATTGGTTAGGTCTAAAATAAGAATATCCCTTTTCTATGATCTCCTATAGATATCCACATATAGATACATTGACTTTACATTTCATACATCCACCTCGATTCCGATCTATTTGAAAATTGCTATAATTTATTTACCCATATATTTACGCATACATAAGATCTATGTTCGGAGGAAACCGCCATATTCTACTACTACTAAATAGATATCTGTGTTATCTATATCTAAGTCTTGAAAAAAAATAGATAAGATTTGCACCTATCGAATCTAAAAAATCTTGTTTTTTTGAACATGAAGAGATAAAGAAGCCATTGCAATTGCCGGAAATACTAGGCCCACTAAAGGCACAAAGAGAGAGGGTAAGTTGTTAAGAGTTGTCATAGAATGGGTACCTCGATTTAATATTTGTACCTGTTATTGTTAGAAAGATATCTTAGAATAATTCTAATTCGTATATAATTAGATTGAGTATATCTAAGTGAGTATATATATTAAATAATAAGTGCAAGGAATAGATAATTAAATAAATGAGACTTATTCTTCTTTATCTTTCTACATGAAATATAGAAATATACGTATGATAATCTATTCTATTCTTGTCTTAAAATTAGAATTGAATTCTCATTTTTATTTTATTTAATAAATAAAGAGTTTCTTACAAATTCCCGAAGGATTCGTTAGAATTCAATCCAACAACAGGATTCTTAGTAAAAATAGAGATTCTCGGAAGATAGAGTAGAAAGAAAAGATACTCTATATCTATATTTTCTATATTTGAATTATATATACTATACATACGAAGCAAGAAGGAAAGATGACCTTAGGTTTATTTTATTTGCCTTGCCCAATTTGAATTTCGAAGAAGGAACCATTTTTTTTATCTTGTTGATAGAGATAGAGGTTTCCTAATTAATAATCAGTAATATCGGTATAAAAAAAAGAATTATCCGCACGATTCTTTATACAATTTACAATTAAATATTATGATTATGTCACCAAAGAAAAAAGAAATTCTTCCTTAGAATTTTTACTTTGATTCCGATAAACTATCTAATTGTTCGCTACAAATACAAAAATGTAACTAAATTAAATAAAAATAATTTGACTTAAGGCTCTACTTAACTTAATAAGTGAATTTTAATTCAAAGGAAAAAAAGCGTGAAGCTTAAATAACTCACTCAGAACACCCTTTAAAGGATTACGTGGTACAATTGGATCGAATAAGCCCTTATCAAATAAATATTCAGCCGCTTGTGAACCTTCAGGTACTATCTTATTCAATGTTTGTTCAATTACTCTTTTACCTGCGAATGCAATATAAGCATTCGGTTCGGCAATAATGATATCCCCCAACATCCCAAAACTAGCCGTTACCCCACCAGTAGTAGGAGATGTAAGGATTGATACATAGAATAACTTTTTATGGGATTGATAATCATATAAAGCAGCAGATATTTTAGCCATTTGCATCAAGCTCAAGCTTCCTTCTTGCATACGTGCTCCTCCGGAAGAACACACTAGAATCAGAGGTAAAAATTTATTGGTAGCGTACTCGATCAAACGGGTGATTTTCTCGCCTACTACGGATCCCATACTACCCCCCATAAACTGAAAATCCATAACTCCAATTGCTATGGGAATACCGTTTAGTCGACCTGTGCCTGTTTGAACAGCATCGGTTAATCCTGTCTTTCTTTGATAAGAATCAATACGATCTTTATAAGGTTCCTCCTCCGAATGAAATTCAATAGGATCCAGAGAAAC